GAGACGGGGAAAGTAAGTCATACTCCTTCTTGCGTGTTTGGTAGGATGGTGATGATTGGGGGTGTATGGGTAGGAGGGCAGCTGTTGCGTTTTTCGTCGCAGTCAATGCCGTCCTCAATAGGTACTGTTTGCAGGATGCCTTCGTGATCATTTAGAGAACATATGAGTAGCCTGTCCGACTACCTTCCGGAGCCCTTGACACATACGGCTTCCTCCAAGCTGTGGCCATAGAAATCATCCCCGGCCACTGGCGCTGATGATTGGATGATTTATCCATCTTTTTGGAAGTGTGACGCCTTTAGCTTTAACGGAATGACGAGACCGGGTAGTGGGTATGATGGCTTCTTCTCCGAGCCAAACGGCGCCCTAGACTCTCTCGATATCTACTTGTTTATTTCTCGGTCACGGAGGAGACTCCTTTCCTGGCTCAAATTACTTTCTTTTTTCATTGCTTAAATGTCTTGAGTCGTCGGCAGTCGAGGATATTTTCCCCAACTGAATCTCGCTCCTGTCCCACAACCATGAATGTGTCAGCTTGACTCTACGTCGGTGACTCTCGGAATCAGAGACACGACATGAACGACTCCCAGTTACTAGCAAAACGTCAACAGGCAAAGGGATGATTCGGAGAGCACCAACCGCTATGACTGTGATGGTTCCCCCGGTGTCTATAAAAAGTAGGCACCCTACTTCTCATCTTTCCTCAACAACCCGTACCAACATTCGAATAGCTATTACATACACGACTTTTCCACCAGCCACAGCTTCAAAGAAACCACTATCCGTGATGAAAACCTATCTCATTCTCATCACTACTCTCCTCTCTACCGCCTTCGGTCTTCCGAACGAAAATCATCATCATGGTTTTGCACCTGATACTCCAATACCTGATAGCGTCCCACCCACGGCTAGCCCTACTCCGAATATCTCCAGTTCCGAGATGCTACCACTGGGAAAGAGGCAAGATGACAAGGAAAAACACGTGAACTATATTGCGCACTGCCGGTCAGGGCCGAGAATAGTCTTCTACGCCGACTTCAGCAAATCGTACGACTGGACGAACCATCCGACCTTCTTCGAAACTTATATCTACGGTGGTGAAACCTTCCAGTTAGCAGAAGGCTCTGGGCATCAGGACTCTGGCTTCCATGCCGACTTCAGAGACTTAGCCTGGCAATGGTACAAAAAGGATGCAGCGGTTCCGGTGGGGTCCGCCAAGGATCGCGACGGAGACTTAGATTGCTACAAGGATACCGGGCGGTTATTGTTCGCCGAGGCCCAGCCCAATGGCGGAGAAATATGTGAAGCGAGGTATTTCTGCTGGCAGAAAAGTCGAGGAACTGTGAGATTGGTTTCTGTGTGCAGGCTAAGAAGGAATTTTAAGCGTTCTAACGATGAGCAGCCTAAAACAACCAAGCCGGGCATTGTATCCGTTCCTCTATACGATAACGTTGTTTGATTCTTCCATGTATCGTGGTGCTCGACCTGAATACTTTGGGTGGGGGGGGGCTTTTCTTACTCTATCTTTGTCGTTGGGATGGTTTGCATTGTACTTTTCTTTCGTAGGGTTTCATCCTATTGCAGCTCTGAAGATGCATTTGGTTCAGCAGTACGCCAGGTCCTGTGTATGTCGTTGTGAGGTACCGTTAACTGAACGCAAGAAGGACCTGTACGTATGGAATTTTTTTTATTCCTTTTTCCCCCTCTCTAGATAGTCGCATACCCTATACCCTATTAAGCACATTAGAATTTGCACGGACCTATCACATTCAGCACGAAGTTTACACAACAGTGGTGGACTTCTCCTTGTGACTGTTCTTTTTAATTTGGTCACGGAACGAAGATTCTTGCTATGAATCTTGATGAATTTTCATATTTTACCCTTGTGTGCTTCTAAGAGACTCATGCCGTCTTGATTCCGCTTCTCCCGCCGTGAAAGTAGTGCCAGCTTGACTCGACATAAGTGACTCTCAAAATGGGAGACGCGGCGTAAACGACTCACCGGAAAGTGCCATGAGTTATATATCAACACAAAGACAATGCAGAGGCGACAGTAGCCGCTATGGCTGTAATGTGAGCCGACACCTATTAAAGATAGACGCAATGCTTGTCTTCTACTCTCTACACTCAACACATCCACAATCTCACTACACCAAGCTTTACCAATAACACCCTCATCTTTGTCAGACATTACAACAAGAAACATGAACCAGCGATTCCATTTTATCTTTTTTCTGTACCTCGCCGCTTCCGTTCTTTCTCTACCTGGGAAACCGCGCCATGAGGGAAACCCAACGCACGAAAACCACGTACCCGACTTCCCACCACTACAGGAACGACAGCTTGACGGGGGAATAAACAACGTATACTACCTCGTCAACTGCCAAAACGACTCGAAAGTAGCTTTTTACAACAACGTCGACAATTCTCACGATCCTAGCCATCAACCTGATTGGGTCGAAACGACCTGGGATCGTTACACTCGCAACACACCATTCCAGCCATGGATGAAATACGAGACGGGCTGGACAGAGATACTGGCGGACCACGACCCCAAGCCCACGCACACGGACAGCAATTTCAAGGTGCAGATTAACTTCGATAAGGTGCAATGGGATAACGAACAGGCTGGTGTCCTTGCGGGGGATGGCTATGATCGTTATGGGAACTTGACTTGTTTCAAGGATAATGCAAGAAGACTCTACGGAAAAGAGGGACCAGACGCTTGTGGTGCGGTGTACTTTTGCTGGCGGGAGAAACATCGGAAAGTAAGTTCGCCCTATAGACTATCTACAATAAAGCCCTATCAATGTAGGTATGCTGAATAATGGTAGCCTGAACTGACCAGACCCCCGGTGATCCTTGCAGATTGGAATCGGGCCTGGGCTTCTGGCGGCTGAAGACTTCTTTTTTGCTCATATAGAATCTGATTTTCTTACAGCATTCATGCTAAAGCGGTTGGGTGAGAAATTTAGGTTACGGCGGGTTCCGTATACGTATTGTACTCACTCTATGACTTATTTAGATAGTTGTTTTCTATTTATTTCTTATTGTCTCACATAATGAAGCTTAAATTAGTTCCAAAAGGCTGGGAGACGGTGACTGTAAGAAAGGTTAAGCCAACTATGACGGGGCTACCCTAAACCTCTATTATAATGAGAAGGCGCCGTGTTTATCTTCCACTGTCAGCAGGTTCAACAGCAAGTTTCTATGCCTTGCTACTATATACTTTTGAACGCCCCGATTCTTGACTCCTTCTCCCCCACCTGGTAAGGTAAAGCCAGCTTGACTCTATATAAGTGACTCTGAGATTTGGACATGCGGTATGAATGAATAACCTCTTAGAACCAATCGATGAGTTACTAATTGGCAAAATGATAGTTCAAACATGGTGAAAGTAATTATGACCGTACTGACCTAAGTCATGCCCTATAAAATGGTGTTGCCATGCTTGTCTTCTACCTTCAACACCTCACAAACAACTTCCCACACTTCGACATCACTGGAGACCGTATTATCGAAAGTCTTTCTCAATAAACAAAACCACAAAGCCCTTCCACTCGATAGCCAACATGATCTGGCCTATTATCGTTATAGCATTTCAGCTATTTACCGCTGCTTCCGCATCTCCGCTACCTACTCCTAGTGGCACTCCCATCACTGAAACCAATAAAAACAACATATGGTACCTCGCCAACTGCGTCTCTGGATCCATGATCGCGTACTACGACGACCTAGTCCTCTCGCAGCATGGCGAAGCTCCAGCTAAAGGAAACTTCTACCCTGTGTCTGGAGGAAGCGGACAACTACTAGGGGGAGCCGTAACGTGGGAAGCTCACCAGTTCTTTACCACCCCACCGGACCCAAAGCGATTGAACGTCAGCATCAATGACAGGGTGTGGGCCAAAGATCAGGCCCGGGCCGAAGCGGGACATGGTACCGATGGCAGTGGAAATTGGCAGTGTTATCAGGACACCCAGCGAATTCTATGGACGCTTGGTGGCGCAACGGGAATGTCAGGGGACTTGAGCAATGGAAATTGTACTGCTCAGTATTTTTGCTTGAGGCTCGGCCGTGGATTAGTAAGTCCCCTTGAAGGTTACGTATTTTGCTCGGACTGTGTTAATATGAACTTAGCCGCCGCTCAAGACTTAATTGACTGCGGGTTTTGTACAGTATGGTAGGTTCCACCTAGAGTGTGGATCATACTTTGGCTGGTGGCGTTACACGGTTGTCTCAATTCAATTCTCATTTGGAATCATTCATTTAGCGAGACGTTTCATGATGAAGCTTTGATGTGCAGAATGACCGCAACCCATGACTCCCAAAAAGCCAAGATACATATGACTGTTCTCGCTCGAGGCTCCAACGGCCGCTATATAATGGGAGTGTCATGCTCCTATTCCGAACTCAAGCGCTCGCAAGCGACTCCTTATGAATCCAGGATCCATCTATCCACAAGGATTCCCATACCCAATCGTAAAGAACGAACTCCTGCCAAGCAGTCGACTATGAAGATGATATGGTTCATTGTCACTCCAGCCCTTCAGCTCCTTACCATATCTTTTGCATCGCCGCTCCCCAACACCATAGTCCCTCGCATGGATGATAAGCTTAAGAAGAACGTCTACTACCTCTTCGACTGCAGCCCCGGGGCAACAATCGCCTACTACGACAATATAAATCTCTCTCAAAACCAAGAATTGCCCGATATCTTTATCGGTCTAGAAGGCTCGGCACACTGGGGAGAAGGAATTGCGATCCAGGCAAAATTTGGTGGAAGCACAATTCTCATCCCCGATTGGTATTGGCCATGGTACCCAACCTTAGTCCGAAAACCGCCCGGGGGTCTAGATATGTGGGTTCTTGTTGAAGGTGAGGTATTTGGTTGGCAGCGTTATCAGGATATGGGAAGGCTGCTGTGGACGTCGGATACAAATGGAGATTGCTTAGCTCGGTTCTTTTGCATGCGAGAAGGCCGTTGAGCTGGTATGTCTTGACTCCCGTCCAAGAAACTCTTGAATATCTGCTGATCCTATACTAGCCTCATGTGCATCACACTTGGCGAGTAGCTATAAGGGGATTTCCCTGGGTATACTACTTCTTTGCTTGAATTCTGTTGATGACTGAAGACTTTGATTTCTCTGGTATGGAATCTTTCGTTGTTGAAGTATTCATGGATGTGGGAGGGTACGCCGTATGGCAGGCTCTGTGTGTGTCAACATTCCTCTATGACTCTTTAATATCAAGAGTTTTCTTGTTCTTCACTCATCGTCACTTTTCACCATGAAACTTCGACAAGTGCGAAATGGCCGCAAGCCCATGACTCCCACAGAGTTTAACTCAATATGACTGTTCTAGCCTCAACATTTTTTCTATAAATAAAGCCACCATGCCCGTGTTTTACCTCCACTACTCGCAACCATGCCTTCAAAGATACAAAACTCACTAAGCAACCATCATATCTACATCAACTCCTGGGAAAGAAAGCTTAGGCTACCAACCACCCAACAACGAAGATGATCTGGACAACCCTCATCATAGCTCTTCAGCTACTTACCATCATTTCGGCATCATCAAAGCCTCCCAGTCTCGATCCTATCCCCGTCATTCCCAAACAAAAGAACGCCGCTTACTATCTCGCCAACTGTAACCCCGGGTTAGTGATCTCCTACTACGACGACATAGATCAATTTTTGGGAAGCACAACACGCCAGCTCCAAGACCATGCATTTCTGAATCGACAAGTACTTTGGGAAGCAGGCGTCGACATCCAGGCAGGGTTTTCCGGGGGGACACTTCACATCACTACTTTGAAACAAGCATCGTCCTTTGGAAATTGTGGGCAGCCGGCGGGACTTGTTCAAAATGAAGTTGGAGGTATTGAGGGGAATTGGCAGTGTTACCAGGACACTGGAAGCTTCGTTGGCCCTTGGGGGGCAACGAAGGATGTAGAGCCATGTATATATGTATGCGCGTGGGCGTTAACATGGTAGAATTGAAGTCTCTTCGAAGTAGCTCCGCTATTTGTGCTTATCCGATCGTAGCCTTATAAGTGTTTGTCAGGTTGTGAAGAAGCAGTTCTGTGTTGATTTGAAGAGGCATAAGGCCCGTATATATAGCCCCTGAAAAGGGGGGGTACTCCCCTGTTCCCCCTTGTTACGGATATGGAAGGATGTAACGCCACTGACACGCTAGTAGTGGCAACCTGAGTGTGTTCGTGAGCATCTATTAGTCGCTCAGCCGTCCACTTGATATACTGCGTCTTTGGCCTGGGTTTTGTTGGCGGCTAAAGGCTTCTGCTTCTCTGTTATAGAAATTTTTATTGTTGCGGCACTTATGGTAATGCGGGTGGGTAAACCATATGGCGGGTTCCGTATGTGTAAGAACCTACTGTGACTCTTTTAATCAAGCCTTTTTTTTATTTCTGAATCCTTCACGCATCATCACCCCACACCATGAATCTTCAATAAGTGCGAAGTGACCGAAAGCTCATGACTCCGAAAACTTCAAGCTAGCTACGACTGTTATAGGTTCTACTTCAGTTATAAAGGTAGCGCCCTGCTCTTCTTCAACTTCAACAAACCTTACTCAAGCTCTCGAAAATCTGCTATCCACCACACAACCACGCTCTCGATATTCATTCTTCACGTTCGATACTATACCCATTAGACACACTCGATACCACCATGATCTGGTCCATCGTCGTTCTAGCTCTTCAGCTATTGACAGCTACTGCCGCGGTACCGTATACTCCCGAGCTGAGGAAGCCTGAGGACTGGACAAACGAGTACTTCCTTGCGTCATGCAAAACTGGCTCGGCGGTCTTGTATTATAACGATAAAACTGCACACCTACAAGCACTCGACGCGACCGCATACTTGGACCCCTTCTCTGGGTGGGAAGGAAAGACCAACGTAGCCTGGGGGTCCAACCGGGCAACCCTGATCCAAGAAACTTTAGGGTCACCATTGCCAGCAGAACCTGGACATCGGACATGAACATTGGGACACGGGCAGGTAACGCTACCGACCAATCTGGGGCATGGAATTGCTACCAGGGTGGTGGGGAATTACTGTTCTCAGATTGCTCTCACAGGTACTTTTGTATGCGAGCATGAGCTATTTCAGTAAGTCTTTTCCGAACGCAGCTCATAGTAACGTACGTGCTCATTGGATTGCAGCCTTTTCCGCCTGATATCTAGCTCGTGGCTACTCGAAACTCTACTGGACGTGTTTTTGCTTTACCATAGACCGCTTGTAATCCCTGGATATTTGGTGTCGGGTTTACAGTGACTGGTTGGCTTGTTGGAATGCGAACCCCCGAACTTACAGCGAGAGTGGAATTTGTGGTGAAAGCCAGGGAGACTCTTTCTTTCCTTTCCTAGATTACGTAATTTCCTTGCCTTTTTTTCATCTACGGTATATCTTTGGTTTCATTAGTGTGTCGGCAATATGAGTGCGTTTGCATCTACTGGTATTCCGCGTATGGCTCCTTCCGATCAACGACGTGAACCTCCTGACTCCATGTTTCAACGTATCCACCTAATTACTCATAAGGAAACATTCGGTAAAGTAACCCCCCTGAACCTCACCGCGTTGCTTCTATCACATTCTTCATACGAGAGGATGAAAACGCCCAAACCCCAGAGAAACTTTGCTTCTATGCAACTTCACATAGTCAAATCCGCCACCGCAAGCTCCGGCCAATACCCCGTCAAATCCAACATCGTCTTCGCCCTATGCTTATACCCCTCCTCCTCCACCGTCCCCTCCTCACGCATCGGCCCAAACGTCTCAAGCGGAAACAACCAAAACCCAAAAGCCGGCCTCACCACCTTCTCCAGATCCTCTGCCTGCGCCTTCTCAGGCGACACCCTTTTCCACTTCTCATCCTCCCTCCTCAAATACCCCTCCGCGCTCTCGCGATCCATGATCTCATCGTCGGGATCACCAGCCGGGTCCATCGTCAGAAGCACTCGATACTCGACCCGCACAGGCGCGATCCGCCAATGCTGCAGCAGCCGCCTCCACGAGAGAAAGACGTCCCGTTGGTCAGATTCCTCGAACACCTGCTTCAGATCCTCGGCAATGGGGCGGGGATCCCGCTGCAAGCGCTCGAACGTCGGCGCCCGCGCCACGATCGGGAAAGAGCGGTTGAATAGCTTCAGGTTGAGCGGCCAGATGCCGTACCAGAGCCCGACGATCACGCGGCCGGCGCGCGGTGTGTGGACGAAGAAGACCTCGTGGATGTGGGTGAGGGTGTCTACGAACGCTTGCTTGACGGTTGGGTCGACGGTTGAAGGCTGTGCGAGGGCCGTGTAGCACCCGTCGATGCCGTTGCGGTCGATGGCTAAGTTGAGCAGGCCGATGCCGCGGGGGTCGTAAATGGTCTTTAGGTGGTATAGGAAGTCGATAAGCGGGTCGTCTATTTGCCCGTCGCGGATGAGATGGAGGAAGTCGTACTCGGGATTGAAATAGAATGTCCCCGGAGTAGTCTCCATCTGCCCGCTCAGTGGCGGTTCGCCGAATGCGAACTGGCAGGGGATGTGAACGCGGTAGAACTTCAGGCACTCGTCTCTGGACTCGCTGCTAACGCGGAGGAGCTTGCTGAGCACTTGGTAGCCTTCCACGATGGCGGTGTAGCGAGGGCGGTTGATATCGGGGTCGGGGTTTTCTGGCATTTCCCATGGGCTAGGAAGCTCCAAGCGCACTTTGATGATGCGCTGGCGATGCATTGCGTGTCGCCATATCTGCAAGCGCAGTTCTTTTGGTAGTTGAGAGAAGATGGTGAACTTTCGGTCTACAGTCTGGGTAGCTTTACTAGGGTTGAAGATCTGGAGATGGGGCGGGGAAGCTATTTTTGATGTATTGATCATAGCTCTAGTCGTGCTGGTTGGTTTCTTAGGTGGAACATGATCTTGAGTCGCAGCAGCAGAGCCATATCGTGAGTCGTAAATCGAGTCGCCTTGGGAGGAGAGGGGCTTTCGCTTCATAGTAGGCTGGTCACTAACCACTGTGCCGACTACGGCAGTCTGGGGCCTATTTCTAGAATGCCGGCTTCAGGAAAAGAAGCTAAGAGGATTCCGAGGAGGTCAGACCGAGAGGGCGACGGAATGTACCAATAACTCAACGAAGGACGACGGAGAAGGCAATGGCCATACTGTGAGCAGCCTCAAAATGTGGTCAAAGCCAAAGGTATCAGCAGTCACTCACGGACGATGATATTGAAATAAGAAATGACATTTGGCTGCCTAGATAGACCAAGGGACATAATTAGTTAACTAACTAACTTAGTTAACGTAATCCACAAGTTAGTGGCCCGCACAAGCTAGTGGCCCACCCAACCACGCTACCGAGGCCAAATATTCCGAATTACTCCACCACGAACAAATATATTTTATGCAGCTACATACTAGCTAGCTGCCTGCCGCCTAGGGCACGTACGTGCATTGTGTTCTGTTGATTCGCACATGCTGCACCTAGGTTTTGCTCGCTGTGGCCGCTCGGCCGGTGGCTCTGCTGCCTCCTCTGCTGCCCCTTCCTGTACAGGTTGTGCACGA